AGATGCTGCACAAATCCACAATTCAATCTATTCTTGTTGATTGACAAATTTTAAGATCCTCCACCTGGGGCAGCTACTTGTCCTTGATCCAGAGTGCACACACCATTCTTTTTTTTGGGTGAGAACCATGGCCTCAGAAATGGTAGGGCTAATTCTCATCCAACCCACTTCATATTCAGCTGCAAACGGCCTCAGTGCAAGTCACTGCCTGATGAAACAAGGAGAACTACATCATCTGCGAAAGATCCTGAGTCCACCACACCTGACATGCTCCACCTTCCACCTCATGACTGAGCCTAGAAATTCTGTCTTTAAGTATTGTGATTAAAATTGTTAAGACCCATGACAGAGACCAACACCCACCAGGAATGACAGCAATGGAGCTTTTCTTCTTTACAATGACTGGCAGAGGTACCCTAACTACCTCAGCACTGTGTGATAGGGCCAACGGGAAACATTAACTGAATAAATAGTTTACTATTAAAACTATACAGGTGGAATTGGGTGCGTTTTACTGGAGCCCCTGGGGACCCCATGACATTTGCATTATTAAAAACCACTAATCAAAGCAGAAATCTAACATAATGATGTCATATCATTAAGAACACATTGACAGTAATTAAAATAAATAAAGGGGAAAAATGATTTATATATTTAAAAAAACACACACAAAACAACTAACAAACATTGTAAGCTGTGGCTTGGGTCTACACATACCCTAGTCATTAGGATGAGGGTTAAATACCCTTCGACACTAGCTTCAGAGAAAAAAAAACTTTTTTATACACAGTTCTGTTTTGCTCTTTTGCTCTGAACGTAATATCCTTAAAGATACTTGAGGAACAGGTACAGACAGAACTCTGAAAATCACTTTATATTCATCAAGTCAAGATTTGAATTACTTAAATAATGATATTTATCTTTTGGGACTCAATAGCCTTTTCAACACACACACACATACCTATGTGTGTGTGTCAATATGGACGAGGCTGTGTACAGGTCAAATGCCGATTGGTTGAATAGTGGGCTGGGAAAGGAAAGGGAATGAAATTAAGCTACTACTACTAGAAGGAAACATGCAAAAAAAAAAAAAATCAAAGATAAATCAGGAAAAGCACACGCTGTGGCTGCAGCAGAGACTTTTCATGGTTATTAATACCTGGTTTCACTCTAGCTTTATGTCATAAGTTGTCTGTGTAGGCTCTCAGTCATCCAGGTCATAGCAGTCTTATCATGGTGGAGAGTCCCAGGTATTGAAACCCTAATGGTGGTTGTCCCAAGACAGCCGTTGATCCATTATTACATGTGCCTTATGACATGGGCCAAGGTGAAACAAGGTGCGAGTGGTTTCAGGTAAAACCATTGTGAGACTTTGACTCACCCTATCATGTGACCTATTGAGGTCACCTGAAGTAAGATGCGAGTGGATGTTGAGGCACCAGGAAAGGGATCTCAAGATTGTCATAAGTTTGGTCTTCTCCATGAATCTCCAAAGGACCAAAAACAACACAAGCCCTCGTCTGTGACAGTGCCTCTTCATGAGAGTACAGAGAAACAACATGGAGGCAATTGCCTGCAAAACTGTGTGTAGGCTCTGCATAGGGCCAGTGCACAACTACGCAGGCCCATTATCCATTCAATTGTGTTATTTTTGCTATAGGCCAGTATATTCATTTTGCCTATAACAAACAAAATCATTTAAATTCAGAATCACACTTTGAATATATCATTGTACATTAGTGGATTTAATAACTTTCCATTGACAATGTGTCATCCGCAGACCCTGTGACAGTTGTCAGCAATTCCCTTGAAACAAACTTGGCTTTGATTCACAAGGATGCATTAACACGCCATTTGCCACCTGGAATCAAGATGCACACTGATCATGCCATTAGCTTCTCTCTTTAATTATGAGACCATAAAATGTCTTAATATGCAAGAGCACCTGGATGCTGCTATAGACATCAGAACTTCATCAGCATTTGTTCCTAACTACCATGCCCAGGTCTAGACAATTGGTGTTTTATTTTGTATATGGGAAATGGTAAGGGACAGATTGGAGAATGAGATGTTTGTTTGCCTTCCCATTTTACTGATAAATGACAACCTCAAATGTCTTTATCAGCAAGTGGATTATTTTTAAGAGCAAGAACTAGCTCATGGTGGGAATGGAATAGCATGCACACTATGATTTAATAAATCAGAAATAACCTTCAAAGAGAGCACTTCTGTAAAAATAATTTTAAGATTATGGTCTTTAATGTAAGGCTTTAATTTCTGAGAACAGACACCCTCCACCCACCATTAAGGTAATGTCCAAAATCAACTGGAAAGCCACTGTTGCTAAACTCACTCCTGAGTCTTTAATTTATCTAATCGATTATTGTTGTGCTAGACAATGCAAGACACAAAAACACAAAAACAGAAATCTAGATGTCGAGAAGATATACTGTTGCTTCTGTGTAATATAATGCCCAAATATATTGTTTTGTACACACAGCTGGGACCCAATTCCAGGTATCTGCAACATAGCTGTCAAAATAAAATCTGATTGTGATTTCGATGACTTGCCCATTATTATACAATGTTTTATTTAACTGTTTAGTTGACAAGTGTAACGCATGTCAAAGTAACTCATCTTTCCAATCCAAAGGGCTTTACTTTCAACTAATGATATACAGTTAATAAAGCAGAACCAATTACTTTGCACAGCTGGGCATCTTTTATATGTTCTTTTCAATCTAGGCCATTTGATTGCTT